TAAATTGAACTACAAGCACAGCACACAACAGCTATGACATTCTGAATGCAAGGCATCATGTTCCCCAGAGACATCCCAATCAGTCCTCCCTATGGACAAGTCCCAGAAATACCTTGCTGGGTAATGTTATAGGAGTAGATTTTAGCTCTCAGAAGCTTCCATAGAAATAGGACGTTCAGAAATCAGGAAGGCTGACAAGAAACAAGAACTGAACATCCCCTCACACGTCTAACCTTCGTGAACTTCATAGGAGTTGACAGCAGAAAGGTTTTTCCCAATACACACTCCCTTTGCCAGTGAAACAAGCAGAGATTGGTAACATTCCCAGTTCCTGATTTTCTATCAGATAAGGGCATCCGCCTGAGAGCAATTAAAATAAATGAATGTTTTATACAAATACTTACTGTCAAGATCCGAGGTTGGGAGCTCCTTGGATCTTCTGAAAGAAATCAAATTGGGGATACAACTCATGACTGCACATGTCATTTACTGGTAATCCCCCCATTTCAGTTCATGCTGGATCACAGGAAAGCAGGGCTGGAACCTCACAAGGTCATCTACTCCAGCCCCCTGTTCATGGTAGGGTCATCCCCAACTAAACCATCCCAGACAAATGTCTGTCTAATCTACTCTTGAAAACTTCCAGGGGAGATTCCAGTTTCTTTAGGTTATGCCTGTTCCAATACTTGAACCCCTCTTAGTCAGAAAGTACATCCTGATCTCCAACCTGCATTTCTCCTGCTGCAGCTTCAGGCCATTGCTCCTAGTCCTGTCCCCTGCAGCCAGAGAGAAAAGCCCATCTCCATCCTCTCTATAATTGCCTTTCAGGTATTTGAAGACCATTATCAAACCCCCTCCTACCCCCAGTATCATACCTCCTCTAAACTAAATGACTCATTTTTTCAGCTTTTCCCCATAAGGCTGTCTCAGCAGTTTCCCCAGGCCCCTAATCATTTTTGTTGTGCTAGACTCCTTCCAAACTGTCCACATGCTTGAAGTGTGGAGCCCAAAACTGGACACAGCAGACATCTACATGAGATGCTAGTTGAGCAGTACCCTAACAACACTGTGCAGTAGCATGCTGGACAAAACCCATGCTATTACGCTACTGTGCAGTAGTATTAGGATACTACGCAGTTAGCGTCTGTAAAAACCCACGTGCTGGTGCTACTGCGCAGTCGCACCAGTTACTGTGTGCCAATTTAGGATTATCCAAGTCCTAAACTGTAGTAATTACGGTGCATTAATCAATGTGTAGACGCACCCTGTATGAGGTGAGGCCTCACCAGCACCGAATAGAGTGGAAGAACCCCTCTCTTCCTTTGATTTGGCAGTGACACTCCTGTTAATACAATTCACTATGCTGCGGGGGGGGGCGGGCAGGGGGGGGTTATTTATTTATTTTTTTTTGCAACAAGACCACACGCCTCTGGCTCATATTCAGCTTATAGTCTACTGCAGAGGTTTTCAAACTGTGCTCTGTGAAACCCCAGGGTTCTGCAAAGAGAATGGGTGTAATGGTGGAGCAGGCAGGGAAGCAAATGTGCTGCTATATTGGGGCCAGGTTGCCTGGCTCCACATCAGTCTTTAGGATAAGGATGCAGTTGGGGGTTTTGTGGCAGAAGTAGTGATATGAAAGCGTTCTGTGACTTCAGGAAGTTTGAAAACCACTGGTCTACTATAACTCCCCACTCCTCCTCCGCAATACTGCAGCCTAGCCAGTCATTCCCCAGTCTATATTTATGTATGCTGCATGTGTGTTGGAATACAAATCAACTCACAAAAGGATGGAAACCAGTGCAGCTACTGCATATTTCACTGGTCCTCAAACATGCGTCTGAGTAATAACTACAAGTGACATGGTCCTTTTTGCGGGTCTGAAACAGAAGATATTTGGAGGACTCCAACGTGGGAGTTGGAGTGTTTGGAACAAAACCCAAGGATTGGAGAAATACTAGTATACATTACAGCAATATTTTTACCATACGTTTCCCATATGAGTTTGGTTGGGCTTCACCATATAAAATGGATTAAGATCAAAGAGCCTCAACTTACTCCTAACATGATTTGCCTTTCGTCTGCAATGCTATTGTGTTTCCTTGCATTTCATTTGAGCACTTGTGCTAGTAAATGCTATAAAAGCAATTGGAAGATATAAAAAAGGATTGAGAACCTTACAAAATGATTAACAGCGAATTAGATATATGCCAAGTCACAGAGCTCAGATCCCATATTGGACCCCAAACAAAGAGACTCCCAGTGCTCCCAACTTTGGGAAAAATTCATATCACATACCGTATAACTGGATCGCTGTCCGGTGACTTAAATTGTTCAAGCCTTGTCGTTGGAACTGGCATAGAGAATAGAATCGAATGTTCAAGGTAAAGGCAACAATAGACATGCTTCCAAACAGGGCACAGAGCAGTTCGGTACAAAGGATTTCCTGTGCATATTCAGTTACCTTCTTAAAAAACGTATACAGTGGGCCAAGGGACAAAGCGAACATAGCAAACTTTCTCGTCTACAAGGAACAGGACAAGCTGCTACAAACACCTTTCCTAGTGCTAGTCTCAATAGATGTGCTAGCTGCTATTCCTGCCATAGTTACCAGCTATTTTCTCCCACTCGGCGGGACCTACAGTCATGCTACAATCGGGTCTTTCTTATAAGCTCTTAAAATAAAAGAACTAGGTTCTTCTAGAAGTCCTAATAACTTCTCTTGGAGTTTGGCTGCATCTGTCATGCTTCCTCCAGCATGTTAAAACAAATTTGGTTTATTGGTGCTTATTCCACACTCTCCCCCCTCAGATGAAAGTACTTCAGAAAGGCCAGGTGATGTTATAGATAACTTATTGCAGCCCTATTTTAAATGTTTTTCTCCACACCTTTAAGCAATCCCTTCCCAGTTATTTTGCTAGGAATGCATTTGCAGTGCTAACAAAACAGCACTGGGTGGCCGATGGATAAGGAGAGGGACAGTGTCCACGAATCCTTCTACATCAGCTTTCCCCAGTGTTTGTTACCGTTCACCATACAGTCCCTAGACTCCAGTGTCGGAAAGTGCTCTTCTGCGGTTAAAAAAAAGTTGGGAGAAGCTGAGCCCAGGCAACAAACGCCTGCATCCTCCTCACCTCCTCCTGGGCTGCTCAATGTCCTGAAAACTGCTGCTACAAAACATGTCTTCCTCCAGTACCAGCCAGCCAAGCCACTGGACCCCATCTGTCCAACACAGACCTGGTTGTGGTCGTCTCTGGGTTAGATCATTGCTGCCCACTGTGCCCTGGTAAGAGCTGCCAACTTGTCAGCCATGTGGGCCATCAAGAAAACAATACTCCAGGGCATTAAGACAACCATAATTAAGGTCTTGTGTCTATAAGCAGTATCAGACTGGCCCAAATTACCTTAAAACCTTTCCCCTCTCACTGATAATGGTCCCTTAATCCCCAATTACCACAGAACCATCAGCCTCTGCCAGGGGCTCGGGCTTTCCCAGTCAGCCCCAACCAGCAGAGTTCATTTTACAAATCATACTCCCTTCAGAGTAAGGTGGACTCCCTTTTTCAGATTAGCTGTCCCAGAGGAAATAAAAATGCAGCAGAGGAACAGAAGATGGGGGCTAGCAATGGTAAAGAGAAAAGAAAATAGAAAGCAAGAGAGGGGAGGCGCGGGTGGGGTGGGGTGGAAGGGCAAAGAAAACAAAGAAAATAAGATCTGGGGTGGCGGACAAGGGG